GCCGCCGCTCGTTCCAGTCTGGACGTCGAGGAGCCGATGCAGCTGGGGAGTCAACGCCGGTTATCCAGAGAGAAGGAGAGAAGGCGTCAGTTGCATTTATGTTTGTATTGCGGAGCGGGGGGCCATTTTGCCCGCAATTGCCCGGCCAAAGCACCCAGGGAGCAGGGAAAAGGCCAGCCCTAATGTGCTCTGGGGCAAGCACATTAGGGCCAGTGGTTCAGTGGCCCCGGTGTAAAGAACATGTGTTTTTGTTCATTGAACTCTTTTCCAGCCAAGGTAATAGGTTTTCCACTTGGGCCCTAGTGGACTCTGGGGCGACTGGGTCCTATATGGACAAAGACTTCGATTTAGAACATCATATTGAGTTAAGAAGAAAGAGACAGCCAGAGTGGGTGGAAGGAGCGAATGGTGCTTTAGTTGGTCACCGATCTGTTACCATGGAAACTGGGCCCCTGAAGTGGGAAGCTCAGGGTATAGAGGGTCGGTTTTCCTGGGATGTAATTAGCCTGCCTAGGTATACCATCATTCTAGGCATGGACTGGTTATCCAAGCATAATCCCAGAATAGACTGGCAAGCCAAAACCATTACTTTAGCACCTGCATTATGTGGCACATTGGCGGTAAGTCCAACGGATGTAGAAGGAGTTCCTGAGTGCTACAGAGACTATTATGATGTGTTTAGTAAAGTACAAGCTGACAAACTTCCACCCCACAGGCCTTATGACTGCCAGATCAAGTTGGCGGAGGACGCAAAGTTGCCTGCTGGCCGTTTGTATGCTTTATCTCTTCCAGAACGACAGGCCTTGAAGGACGACATTGAGGAGAACTTGGCCAAGGGGTTCATCCGACCATCCAGTTCTCCCACAGCAGCTCCGGTCTTCTTCGTGGCAAAGAAGACTGGTGATCTTCGTTTAGTTTGTGATTATAGGATTTTGAATAAGTATACTATTCGGGACCGTTATCCGCTGCCTTTGATTCCTGAGTTATTGTCGCGCGTTCAAGGCGCTTCTGTTTTTTCTAAACTTGATTTAAGGGGAGCCTATAATTTGCTTAGAATCAAGGAAGGCGATGAGTGGAAGACCGCTTTCAATACGTATTTAGGAGCCTACGAATATTTAATCATGCCTTTTGGGTTGTGTAATTCACCTTCTGTGTTTCAGAGACTAATGAACGATGTGTTTAGAGACTTATTAGACAAATTTATGGTCTGCTATCTCGATGACATCCTCATATACTCGAAAGATCTTCAGCAGCATCAACAACATGTGAAGACGGTGCTCCAGAGACTGCAAAAACATGGTTTGTTTGCTAAGGCTTCTAAATGTGTGTTCCACGTCCCTGAGGTGGAGTTCCTGGGGCACATAGTCTCTGGGCAGGCTGTGAAAATGGACCCGCATAAGGTAGACGCTGTCCAGTCCTGGAAGGAACTCACCTCGAAAAAAGATGTGCAGCGTTTCCTGGGCTTTGCTAATTATTATCGAGAATTTATTCCCCATTATGCAGAAATCACGGTGCCGCTGACGCGCCTCCTGAAGAAGGACCAACCCTTTGCATGGACTAAGGAGGTTCAGAAGGCATTTGAAACTATCAAATGCAGTTTTGCCGATGGGAGAGTCCTGTGTCAACCAGATGTGGATCGCCCATTCGTGGTCGAAGCTGATGCCTCCAATTACGCGCTGGGAGCTGTTTTGTCCCAATTGGATTCGGCTGGTACCTTACGTCCTTGTGGCTTCTACTCACGCCAATTGTCTCCTTGTGAGCAGAACTATACTATATGGGAGAAGGAATTATTGGTGATCAAAGTTGCCTTTGAAGTCTGGAGGCACTGGTTAGAAGGTGCCAGGCACCAGGTAGTGGTGCGATCCGATCATCGCAACTTAGAACATTTGTTAACCGCTCGCAAATTGAATCAGAGACAGATTCGTTGGGCTATTTTCTTTAGTCGTTTTGATTTTCATGTTGAGTTCATAGAGGGGAAAAAGAACCTGAGAGCGGATGCATTGTCTAGAAAGTCTGAGTACAAGACAAATGTGGAACCCATCATGCAGACTGTGTTACCTACTGCAGCTCTGAACTTAATGGAGGGTGCGGGTGATCTT